ATCAGAAACAAAATTAGAAATAGGGTAAGTACAAGAATGTTTACCCTTTCGAAGAGCAATGGGGCGATCATCAAGCGAAACAATAGCTTGAGAAGGCGGAGCTGGTGCCGAAGGAACAAGGCAGTCAATCATGGGAGTAGAAGCTTGTACTCGTTGTCTACGACTATAAACCTGTGAAAAAGTAACAATTGCCCCCGCTGGAGGGGTACCACGAGGAGGAATCATAGAAGAAGAAACGAGTAATGGTAGAGGAGTTGAAGACGGAAGAAGGTGATCATCCATTATATTCAATGGGAATCATTCACTCTGAGAACCAACTGAACCACTATAGTATGGTGTATGCTCAAAGAAAGAAACATCCATGGATATAAACCGCCGACGACTGGGAGGATGGTGACACCTATAACCTTTTTAAGGGTGAGAATAGCCCAAAAACACACACTTCAAAGCCTTAGGGTCAAGCTATGTACGAGTCTGCCCCAACTGCTGAACAAAGCACACACACCCGAAGACTCGCGGAGGAATCAAAAAAAGAGATGAATTGGGATGTAAGATTGAGAGTGGGGCTGCAAAGTTAAGAATCTTAGAAGGAGTCCTATTAATGATGTAAACAGCGGTAAGAATCGCATCTCCCCAAAATGACTAGGGAACATTCATGCCAATGCAGATTGCTCTGGCTAAGTCAAGGATGTGGCTATTCTTTCTCTCAGAACGACCATTCTGTTGAGGAGTTTTAACATTAGCCATCTGATGCTCAACCCTAAATTCTGTACATAACCGTTGTACTTCCCCATAAGTGTACTCTGTACCCTAGTCAGATCTGAATTTTTTTAATGGTACGACCATATTGAGTCTGAACCATTGTCATAAAATTTTAAAAAATGGTGTATACCTCATTTTTTGGTTTTCATAAGATAAACCCAAGTAACACGACTATGATCATCAATGAACAACACGAAATATCGAAATCCAAGACTAGAAGTAACTGGGCAAGGACCCTACACATCTGAATGAATAAGATCAAAAGGTGTTAAAGCAGATTTATTACTACTAGCAGGATAATTGGAACGAACATGTTTAGCCATATAACATGTTTCACAGGATAAATCTGACACTGGCACGCTACAAAATAAGGAAGGAAATAAATATTTCGAATAACCAAAAGAAATATGTCCTAAACGTATGTGCCAACGCATGAGTTGGGCTTTATTAGATGAAACAATAGTAGAAAATGAAGCTTAATGTGCTTGAGGTGACAAAAGAGCATCCAATAGGTATAAACCGTCCACTTCATGCTCACAGCCAATCGTCCGTTTCGACACCAGATCCTGAAAAATACAATGAGAGGGAAAGAACGTTACACTACAATTAATTGTTTGGTAACGCTACTAACAGAAATAAGATTTGTAGTCAACTTTGGAACATGAAGTGTATTTGACAAAGTTAATGAAGGAGTAATTGATATATGACCCTTCCCAGCAATGGAAGATGGAGAGCCATTCGTAAGGCGGACCTTGCGTTAGCCAGAGCAGATACCATAAGATTGGAAGAGTGAGGACATACCAGTCGTATTGTCTAAAGCACCAGAATCAATGATCCATGGTGTTGAAGATGTAGATACGCTATGTGCAGACGCAATAGTACCTGAGTGGGCATAAGTGGAGGTTGGCTGAGATGATGCCTCCATTTGGTTGAAGAATTGCTTGAACTTGTCCAAATCAGCTTAAGGTAACTGTGGTAGAAGATGTAGAGGCAGGGTTGTCAGGAGTTGACAACGAGACCGGTTGTGTAACAGCATGTGCAGAGGATCGAGGCTGTTGTTTATGTTGCAGTGGACGTCCATGTAGAGCATAACAACGAGATTTGATGTGACCAATTTTTCCGCAATGGTCACACCATCCACGTTGTCGTCCTAGAGGAGGACCGGTGGTAGTGCTCTGAACTGACTGGGATGGTGAAGTTCCTGAAAGGTTGGGAACCCGAACTGCCATAGCAGAACGATCAACAGAAGCAACACCTAATGGATGAGTCCGGCGGCTCTCATCTGACAACACATAGGAGTATGCATCCTCAAGAATAGGGAATGAAGATGAGCCTAATAAATGAACACGAGAATGCTCAAACTCGTCGTTCAACCCGGTAAGAAACTGAAACACTCGATTCTTCTCCACAATTCCTATATATAAAACTGCATCATCTGGATCCTTCCAAGAGTGGAAGGAATCATAATATGACATCTCCTCCCAAATAGCACGAAGCTTAGCGATGTAACCTGAAACTGTCAAGTCACCCTAAGAAATCTTGGTGATATCTCGCCCCAACTGGAAAATTCGTGCATTATTCTGCCTCTGAGAATAAGTGCGTTGAACTGAATCCCAAATCTGCTTATTAGCAGTCTTCATAAACATATAGCCAACAGCTATGTTTGGTTGCATCGAATTGACTAGCCAAGACATAACCATAGCGTTATCTGCAAACCACTGTGGATATGTTTTCTCTGACTCAGTTGGCTCTTTCTCAGAACCAGTAATATAGCCAATCTTCCCTTTGCCACCAATGAACATCTTGGCAGACTGTGTCCAAATCAAATAGTTAGAACCATCCAACTTCACTGTGGTGATTTGAAGTCCTGGATTTTCTGATGAGTTGGTGGAAAAAATGGCACCACCACCTACAGAACTTAAGCCAAGAGAATTAACAGTCGAGGACCCTGAATCTACCATAATCTGTCACACGACAATAAAAAAACTCCAAAAAAACCAAAAATTCTGTTAATAAATCAAAGGGCCTCCTCAGACCATAAACAATAACAATGTCTCCTCAGACCATTCCTGAAAAATCCAAATACATACTTTTTTTAAGGAGCACTGTCCGCTTACATATAGCCAGACAACCTCCTTCTTAATATCCGAGCAATTTTTTTTTTTTTTTACCCAAGCCCTTCTAGGTGTTGGAAACCAACTATCCCAATTTACCTAACCCTAGAAGAGTGAAAAAGAAATTGTAAAACTTAAAAATACCTGTTTTCGATCACAAAACAGCAACACAGAAAAACATGTGTAGGCAACGTCACACAATGTCACAAACAGCCTAAGGTAGCTGTCACACAAGTAGCAAGGCTGCTGAAAGGTGTGGAAAGGTGTTGGCTCTGATACCAAGTAGAAATATAAAAAGAAGATAAATGAGAGAATTGCGTAAAGGCTTGAATGATATGAATTACTCATTCACAACTCTAGTATTTATAGATAAAATGAGCACATGTTCATATTACAAGAAAGGAAACTAAATCAAATCAAAATCAGATCACAACTTATTCTAAAGCATATTCTATAGCATAGTCAAATCTCTGCTATTATGGTAAGTCATACCATAAATCGTGGTATCATATATGCTAACAAAATTGCATGATTAGATTACTTTATTATATACGTTCACTTGTTATTCTTTGCTATATCCCAACATTATCTATAGTTCTGCTAAAGTTACTCACAATATATTTAGTGTCAGTCTACTTATCAAAAATACACACACACACGCACACATATATATATATATATTTAGTCTCAGTCATACTTATCTTAAAAGCCTCTTGATCCTAAGTTTTGAATTTATTACTATTATTCTTTTTGGTAAGTTCATTTATTACAGCGATGTTATTATCAAATAGCATACATCTTGGAACCTCACAATGAATTTGTTAGTCATTCATTATTAAAATAAAATAAAAAAATTGGAATTAATGTTGATCGTTGTTCTATGTTTTTAGTAATTAAAAATCACTTATTCCTATGTTTGTCCATCATTAATGAAGGTTGTAGATTTTCAACCAATATTATCCCTTGGATTGATGCCCTCTTTATTATCACACATTTTCAGTTGTGTGAAAAGCAGATATTCTAAATCAATCATGTGATGTTGTGGCCCGACGCGTTGCATAGGAAATTTTTTGATAGTTGGATAGGAAATTTTTTGAGCGACTCCAGAGCAACTCTCGCGACGCGACCTGGCACCAAATTTTTTGATAGTTGGAATGTGTTAAATCGGTAACAAAGTTGGTACCAAATTCCAAACCCGGCCCGAATTTGGTATCAACTATTTTTCGACAATTAGAATGTGTAAAATTGGAGATTACAAGTTTCAGCCCCTCACTCTCTTTCTGTACGATTTTCAATGTCTCTCTATCATTTACTCCAAACCCTAAGCACCCTTATATATCGGGCTACAAGAGAGTACTAATTAGGGTCCACAACCCACAAGCAAAACAGGTCAAAAAAATTCCTATTCCGAGAGTTGCTCTGGAATTTGGTAGGTTTTTGGAGGGTTTAAACTTGAAATTGGGGAAGAATGGAAAAGTGGGAAAATTCATTTTATATGAGTTTCCTGCCAAAACTGTCGTTACAACTGCGTAGAGGCTGTTATGGCCATGAAATTCAACGGGGCTGATTTATCGGGCATAACACTATCACTGCTTGGTGGTACCATTGTTAAATGGCTGTACTTTTTTTTTTTTTACCCCCAAGTAAAACAGTTGTATTTCAGGTTATGCAAAGGCCACTACCTTAAGTTTTACTTATAAGAAAAGTAACATTCTTTAACCCCAATGGGCTGGCTCAAGTGGGTAAGTCACTTGGCCATGGTGCCTCTTGAAGCATCAGGTCTAAGGTTCGACTCCTCTTGGGTGCAAAAAATTCCTTGAGGGGGGGTGTGTGAGTTCAAGGAAATATTTTCTTATTAAAGAATTACTAAATGTATTGTGTATTTCATAAATGTATCATGTATGTTGCATTTATTTCATGTGGCTGTACAGGAGTTTAAGTTTTGCCTGTTGGATAGCTATGGGCTATATAGTGCTGATGAATATTATGATTATACTTCCTTCCACCAATCAAAGTTCCTTGATTAGTTTGTAAGGAAGAGTGCCATTACATACTGAGGCATAATGCCATTTATTTGTTCTAACTAAAAATTTATTTTTTTAATCAATGCCATTTCCTTTGCAGACAGAGGCAAGATGATGATAAGTGGGAACATGATCTTTACCAGGATGGTGGACCTCAAGTATCAAGTATGGATTGTTTAAGATGCAGTTGCATTCATCTAAATTCCGCTGCTACACTTTATGAAAGTTATAAAAATAAAAGTAATAATGATATATTACTTTATTTTATACATCATTTCTTTGATTTGTATTTTAATGTCATGCAAAGATCGCAGAGTTAGTGCTAAGGATCTTCGTTTGAAGCTTCAGAGAAAGAGAATCCAGCAAGCAACTCAGAGTGGAACTGGATCTCTTTCAAGAGGTGTAAAGGATCTGCGTGAAAAACTCTCTAGTAACAAGCATCCGCAGGCAGTAAAGTCTGATCTGCCAAAGCCGAACTCAGTACCTGAGGGCAGTAAACCTGCTAAGAAACATGTCATTGTTGAAACCCCTGTGCCTCAGACCAAAAAAATTGGCAGTTCAATTTCTAGGAAAAAGGCTAAACAAAAGGCACAAATCTTCCTGTTTTACTTTTCTTCTTAAAATATCATTTCTGTCGTCTTATACAACTTTACAAAAAATAAGGTTTTAATTTTGTTTTGGATGCTTGTCTAATTATGTATCTAGATCCGAACTGTTACAGACGCAGACAAACATTTCATATTACAAAAATTCAGTGTTTTTTATTATTTGTTTTTATAGTTAGAAATCTGGACATCATTTATGCAATATTTACATGATTTATCTGACATGTGTGCGTATGTTTATATCTCATACTGCAAACAATTTTTTTTGTTTGTTATTGTTAATATTCTTAATACTCAGGAGGAAATATATATATATATATATATCACATATCATTGACACCAACATTTTTGTTTTGTTTACTTTTTTTATTCCTTTTCTCACGGTGGGGCTTATTTAGTGTCTCTTTATGTATCACTTTGGTTCCTATGCATATTGAGTTTGTATTGCTTGAACTTTTGTTTCTTTATTTATTTATGTATTGATAAGTAAGGCACACATCCATGTTCCAACTAGGACTTGTGCAAGAAATATTGTTGTTCAAGCTAACAGCTTTTGGTGAGATGCTATGTAACCTTTGGTGCAATTTTGATTGAATTTCATTTCTGCTGCTGCTTGCTGCCAAACTGTTTGGAAAAGTAATTAATAGTCAAAGTCTTTGAAAGGAAGATGGTTTAGTCATCATGTAGTTAGACAATTTGGTTATTTTTTGCTCTGAAACTTGTGTCCCATCTGAATTCTTAAGTAGTCAATTTATTAGGACCTCTCAGAACCATGCCCTACACTTACGTTGATTGTTCAGTCTGAAAGGGGTTGAACCTCTTGGTGGGACAGAAAAAATACTCTCACTTAAGGGGTGGATTTGTTTTCGTTTTCTTTCTTTCTTTCTGTAAGAGTTAAAAAATCAGTAAAGTTTCATTTATTTATTTATACTTCTGACTGATAACATCTTTGGTGCAGCCTGAATCTGCAGATGCTTTCCTACAGTCCCTGGGTCTTGAAAAATATTCAGTTATATTTCAAGCAGAGGAAGTATGTAAATTATATAGCTTTCGTGTGTTCAAAACAATTCTTATATATATTCTATTGTTTTAATAATGTTGAGGAATTGCTCTACTACTTTGACGCATGTTGTTACTGCAGGTTGATATGACTGCCCTTGTACACATGACTAATGAGGATCTTAAGGCTATGGGAATACCAATGGTAAAATCAACTTGATTTGGCCGGCTATATTGATATTTTGTTCCCTTTGTAATTTTATTGCTTTTTCTGAAGTAGGATTGAAGATTTTCCGCAATAGAACTTATTTGTTTAAATTGCAATGTGCTATGTTTTGTATTGGTTTTATTTATTAGCTTATTAGGAAACAATTATCTTATTGCAAAAGGGAAGAGATACAATAAAGAGAGATCCAAAGAGATGACAAAGTAGTGAAAGAATATGGAACTAGAAAATAATTGAATTTCCACTCAAGTATTCCCTCAATTTAACTCCTTTTTGTCCAAGAAGCCTGCTTCCGAAGTCCTAGGTTGAGGAATTCTTTGGTTGTCTGGTGAGGGATGAATCCCTTAGGCAAGGTGAAGAATATCCAAGGCATTGAGAGATGTTGATTAAAGTTAATGAACCTGTAAGAAGAACCACTTTGTAATATGATAGGTTACAAACCTCTTTCCCACATTTAAAAATACTTATAATAGGCTACAAAGTTCCTCTCTCACTTCTCTTTAAGTTCGCATCTAAAAGCAAGGGTCTGAGATGAATCACCAATACTTGCTTGTCTTGAAAGGGAAAAACTAAATGAGGCTGAATTGTTCCTTTCACAAGCCCATAACCCCCATTGGATTTACCCAAAAAACCTCAGCAAGGAAATGCGGTTTTCAAAGTGGAGGGTATATTAGAGTTTAAAAATGGGTGAGCTGAACTTTGATCTATTTCAGAATTCTTTGCAGAGAACTGGAGGCAAAGGGAATAAAGAGGCTGTCATTGGTATTGGCCCTTCCAGTATGGAGTGCTGTAGGCAAAGCGAATCCCCTGAAAAAATTTTGAACCCTGTTCAGGAGGGTCTGCACATCATAAAAGGTGATGTTCCATCCTAAATTATCCAAATGACAACTGGGGTGAATGCCTCCAGAGAAGTTCCTATCTAGACCCTTGCAGAAGCTGAGTTGGAGAGGAAATGTCACTAACCTGGTGATGTTGGCTTCATTCTGGACGGAGGACCAAACTTGGCTAGCATCAAGGGGAAAGGAAAAGGCTGTTCTGCATTTCCTCAACAGCCCTAAACATGGTAAACATTAGGTGACAGATATAAGGTTATCCTCCCTCTCTCTCTCTCTAAATTATTCACTAACTATTCATCCTATCTAGAGCGACTGTTCAAGTAAGGGCTCTAAGTTCATGGGGAAGCTGTATAGAGCTAAACCATCTTGTAAGGAAAAGTTTATATGGGATCTGAAGATTTAAAAAAATTCGGAATCGGTTATAAGAGTAGAACCTCAAAGAAAATTAGAATCACACTTTAGCGCATCAGTGCATTCGGATAAGCAGGAGGGATAGGAAAGAAATTAATGGTATTGGGAGGGAGGGAGGGATGGAGCTCTTTGAATAGCTATGGAAAGAAAAGAAAGGAAATGATAGTCTAATCCTCTAATCTTGTGTTGGAAAAACAGAAAGAGTAAAGAAAGAAAAAAATGTATATTATGAAATTACAGAGGGCGAAATAGAAATTCACTTGTTACAATAAATAGGGATAGAATGAGTCATCACAAAAGAATGTATATTACGAAATTACAGAGCGCAAAATAGAAATTCACTTGTTACAATAAAAAGGGATAGAATGAGTCATCGCTAGCTCCCTTACCCTTTCCTTACATCATCAAAAATACATCTCAACGGCTTAACTTTTCCCTCCTTTTCTTTTTCCTTTACTAGCGATCTCATTTGATTTCTGGACTTATTCTTGATCATTAGTCATGTCACGACTTTAAATAGCCTCTCCTCCAACCACATATGTAGGGTACAAATAATACATGATTGCTTCTATCCTGGTTAATGCAACATAGGTAACACTCCCATTTGTCCTACTTTTCTTTTTAAATTATAATGTCTAATCATTTGCAATATCTAAACTCAAATTATTCCTTAACCAGATCAGTTCATGATTGCTTCTCTCCTAGTTAATGTGGCATCGGCAACACTTCCATTTGTAATACTTTTCTTTTTAAATTCTGAAATGGTTTTAATCATTTTCAATCTCTAAACCCATATTATTCCTCAAATCTGATCCATTGGTTTCACCTAGCATGTGACTGCTTCGAGTTTCTTCCTCTCGGTTTTTATGAATTCAGCTATCAACCATTCCTCCTGATTAGATGAAAATCTGCATGCATGGCTTAGGTTGAGCACATCTAATTTACGATGCCAATATTTTATTCCTCCTGATTTTTGGTTTATGTCGAATACAGATTTGCCATCTTTTATTCCATCTTGAATTCTCACTGATTTTATGTTGTTCTCTCTGACCTTTGAATTTAAGCTTTTTGGCTCATTGTGGCTGTTTCAGGGACCAAGAAAGAAGATACTCTCGGCACTTGATTCTAAAACTTGACATTTGGTGGTGAACCAGGTTCTTTTGCTTGTTCGATTGATCCCAATGTTCAATTCCAGCATCACACAAACCAGCAGCTCTCTGTTTTAAATATACAAGTCTCGAAGTAAATATTCTGGGCCAGATTTTCAGTTGTACTGCGGAAAGTGGCTTCAGTGAGCTCGTTATTCATATCAAACCTTTAGAAGATTGATTGATGGCTTGGGACATATTTTGAAACTTTCATTCAATGAATCAGTTTTGTAATTGTACCAAGTTGTTTCCCGCAGCAGTCTTAAGAGCTATGTTCTATTTTGTTTTCGTTGCTCCGTTGGTTCAATTTCGGGTGTCTTTTAACTGCTAATTTATGGAAAAGGGGAAGGGGGGAGTGTTTTTTTGTGTAAGGTACTGGAATTTGATTGCATACATTTGATGCCAATGACATTCATTTTATATGTACATGAACATTAAAATAGAATATCATACTTCTTATTTCCAGATTTTCCTTCAATTGCGTGACTTGCGTAGACCTCGTTTGCCCATGGAGAATACTCATATACTGCGTGTGGAGGACGACTTCTTCTCTTCACCCTGCTTATCAACTTTTATTCTTTGTACCAGTAGGCTTTTTCAACTTGTTTAGGTTTTATTTGTGGGAAAATAAAGGAAAAAGGAAGAGGATAGGGGTTTAGGTTTCCATCTTCAACCTGCTTCGGGTTTCTTTCTCTCAGTTTTGTTTTCAGAGTTATAAACCAAGCAGGTATTTTTCTCAAACCCTAAAAACACAGTGGAAGTACATAATTTTTACTTTTTACAGCGAACCCCATATGAACTAGTTTCAAGGCAAATTGTGGGCTCAATTTTTCAAAAACTGAACCAAACAAGTCGTTACATCATCAGGCAAAGCCCTGTGATTTCCCTGCTACTCCTCCAACAACTCTATTTTATAGTTATTTGAAATGGGATTTCTTCTAATTATATATATTTTTTGTATAACAGTTTATAGAAAATTGTCAATCAAATGATTTTAATTTTTTAAAATCTGAACCAATGATGTGCATCAACTTAACCAAACCGGACCTCCAATAAAGTTTGCCAATTCAAATTAGATTAAATGGTACATTGAAGTTCAAATAAACAAGGCTAATTCAAAATTGCATTTTCAAACTCGTCGAGTAAATAAACTTGAGCGTGAACTACATTTGTTAATCTCATCATGTTAAGAAAAAATAATAATAATAATAACAATAATAATAATCTTATCAGGTTATATGTGATAACAAAAACATTTAAAGATTTAGAAATATGATTGATTTGTTAGGTTTGTAAATGATTTATTTTGATCAATCTTTATTTTAACTTTTAAATTCAAATTAACCATAGCTTGACAAACAAAAACTGAGCCAAGAAGAGGAAAGCTAAGTTTTTTGTTGTTTTTTTTTTGGGTAACCTTTTTTATCAACTCTTTTATAATAATGAATTTAACCTACAGAAATGTTAATCAACCAAGCCGTCTTAGCTCAGCTGGTAGAGCGCGTGGCTTTTAACCACGTGGTCGTGGGTTCGATTCCCACAGACGGCGTCTACTTATTTTTTCTTTTTATACTTTTGCGCCCTGTTTTTTTGTTTTTTTTTAAGAATATAAATTCAACACATTGTTGTTATTGTGTTGTAACGACTACAAACTGTAACACAAAATTTTTGAAGTTTCTTCACAAACACACACATAGATGCGGGTATTTCCATGCCCAAAGGATCTCAAATCTATACTTTTAGCTTGTAAAGACAGAGCAACCGTAGCTAAAGTCCATTCTCTCATGATCTTATCTGGGTTGTTTAGCCATGGAACTTCAAATGCCCAACTAGTAGCATCCTATGCTCGAAATGGTGACATCCCGTTGGCCCGCAAGGTGTTTGATAAATCGCCCAAGAGAAGGATAGATGCTTGGAATGCAATGATCATCGCGTATTCGCGTAAGGATTGCCCGGTTGAGGTTATAAATCTTTATCATCAGATGAATTTGGAAGGAGTTAGACCCGACAGCTCGACTTTCACGGTGGCAATCAAGGCGTGTGCGAGCTTGTTGGATTTGGAAATGGGTGAAGAAATTAGAAGCCGAGCCGTGGAATGTGGATATGAGCATGATGTTTTTGTTGGGTGTTCTGTTTTGAATTTGTATGCCAAGTGTGAGAAGATGGACAGAGCAATGGGTGTGTTTGATAAAATGCCAAGAAGGGATCTTGTTTCTTGGACAACGATGATCACGGGTTTTGCACAGAGTGGGGAGGCAAGTGTGGCTGTGGATATGTATCACAGTATGCGAAAGGAGGGAATGGAAGGAGATGGGGTTGTGATGTTGGGACTGATTCAGGCTTGTGCAAATCTTGGAGATGCAAAATTGGGTCTTTCTATTCATGGGTATATGATTCGGAGAGATATTTCTATGGATGTAGTAGTTCAAACTAGTCTTGTGGACATGTACGCCAAGAATGGACTGTTGGAGCTTGCTTCTCGCGTATTTAGGAAAATGTATTACAGAAATGTCATTTCTTGGAGTGCTTTGATTTCTGGCTATGCTCAAAATGGTTTTGCAGGGAATGCTCTTGAATTGTTGGTGGAGATGCAAAGTTTTGGATTGAAACCGGATCTAGTGTCACTTGTGAGCGCACTTCTGGCCTGTTCTCAGGTTGGGTTTCTGAAATTGGGTAGATCAATACATGGATATATTGTGAGAAGGCTTGAGTTTGATCAAGTTTCAGGCACTGCAGTGATTGATATGTACTCCAAATGTGGAGCCCTCTCCGCTGCACGTGCACTCTTTGATCGGATAAGTTCTAGGGATTCAATCTCTTGGAATGCAATGATTGCTAGCTATGGAATCCATGGACAAGGAAAGGAAGCTCTCTCACTCTTTCTCCAGATGTTAGAGACAGACTTAAAACCGGACCATGTAACATTTGCTTCTCTTCTGTCGGCTTTTAGTCATTCTGGTCTTGTTGAAGAAGGTCAATATTGGTTTGATGTCATGCTTAGAGAATTCAGGATCCAACCAAGTGAAAAGCATTATGCTTGTATGGTTGATCTTTTAGCTCGTCGAGGAAAAGTAGAAGAAGCCCGTCAACTGGTAGATTCCATGACAAGTGAACCAGGGGTTGCTGTTTGGGTTGCACTCTTGTCAGGAAGCCTTAACCATGGGAAGAAGTTGATTGGAGAGTTGGCGGCAAAGAAGGTTCTTGAGTTAAATCCTGATGACCCGGGAATTTATGCTTTGGTTTCAAATTTTTTTGCAACAGAGAGGAAGTGGAACGAAGTAGCCGAGGTCAGAAAGGTCATGAGAAGAACTGGAATGAAGAAAGTACCAGGATACAGCGCAGTGGAAGTGAACAGGAACCTCCATGCTTTTGTTATGGAAGATAAGAGCCACCCTCAATATGAAGAGATTGCCAAATTTCTGGAGAGGCTGGAACTTGAGATGAGAGCTCTTGGTTATACCCCACAGAATGAAATTATGTTGCAGGATCTTGATGTAGAAGAATAGAATTGTGAAAGCAACACCAAATAGTTGGGAAAGGCTTTGTTGAGTAGATGTTGTAGAGGAAGTGCTAGCAAGCGTGTGTAATCAAGGTGCAAGAATTGCTATTGCTTTTGGGCTCTCGAACACGGGCAGGAACCAAATTACAAATCACTAAGAACCTCAATATTTTGTGGGGACTACCATTAAACAACTAAATTATATCCATAATTGTGGATATTGAGAGTAGTGATTGCTTCAGTTGACTCTGATATCTCCAGACTTGCTCTTGTGGTGACTACTGGTTAGTCAGACATGCAAAATTTTGCTTTTCTATATTGGGGATTTCTTAGTTCAAATGCCCAAGTCTTTATCCCAGTGTTTACCACCTTTAATGGAAGGAACGTCATAACGTGTTGCTGATAGAGCACGAGTGGTGGAAGCTGCATCAAGAAGGAACATCTTCTAATCACCTGGCTATATCTAATAGCATTTGACTCATTTGTGTCCTGACATTCACTAATGTCTTTGCCCTATGACTTTGGATCAGTTTCATGCTTTACAAAACCTCAGCCGAGATAAAAGGAGTTTTTTGTCAAAACCAAATGCTTACTTGTTCCCCATAACAACAACAGCTCATTTTGAAAGTCTTTAGTATAAATTGCACATGAATATGTTGAAAGAAACAGAGAGATTTTTCAAGCCTGAATGTGTTCTTATATGATTCTCACAAACTACCAGAATGTCCACCAGATAGTGCTGCCAATTTTTCCTTTTGTTTCCACTCAAGGTCCTAATACCATAGAGCATCTTATGATCTTTTCCAGAATCTGATGGGTATTGCTCTAATGCAATGGTCTAACGTTGATCCTGCATTTGAGGAACTTTTGAGTTGTCGTGTTCAAACAAGTACAGTGCAATGCAATGAACATCTAGAGGATGCAAATTTAAAGGTTCCTTAATCTACTACAGTATATATTGTTGATGATCCCTGTACAGGACAAAGACTAAATAGTTGTGACTTGTATAATATCTCCACCACAGCAAGAATAAATATAGAATGGGTAACTTCGCAGACTCAGTATCTATTTATTCTGGATCCATCTCATTGCCAGCAGCATTTGATAGCGCCAAAAAATAATCGCTGCAAAGATTATTGACTGGTTAGAGTTATCACTTATGTGCCTTTGTCATTCTCTAGCTCTTTTTTTTTTTTTTTTTTTTTAAAGATAATGAGTTTGATGTACCAATGCATATAATCACTTTCATTGATTCAGTATGGTTGTATTTTCTTCAATGCAGATTTAGCAGGTTTGGATATCTTTTCCGAGGAAGAATATCAAATTTTGAGCTTCTTCATAAAGTCTTCTCTTCTCTATCTCAAAGTCACGGAATGAGCGGGTTAGGATATCTTCTGTTCTTGTCCTCAAAAGTCTTGGAATGTGGCTATGATGTATTATGCGTTTTGAACTGGAATTGTGTTACTTCCACAAAGTTGGACGGTGGTTTGGGGCTTAGGAAATTGGTGGACATTAATCTTTCCTCTACCTGCGAACTTTCTTGGGAGTTCTTGAGATCCGAGGACTGCCTTTGGGTTGCTTGGTTCAGAAGGAGATATTCTACCAACTACTGGGCTGCAATGCCATCATCTTCTCATTCAATTATTTGGAGATCTATGGTTGAAGTGTATGTTATCTTATAGCAGATGGTTGTGACACTAGGCTGTTCCTTGACTGTGATGAGGACAACCGGATTGGGATGATCAGGTCGGTCTGTTGGGAATGCCGGAAGGGCCCCTTCATCACTTTCACTTAAAGAAGCCAACTCTGTCGAGGAGTAGTTATTTACAGCCCCTGGTGTCAAGGTCAGACGTTGTTGCAGAAGTTCTCTCCTAGAGAATTGCAGATTCCTAAAGATGCAATGGTTGCTGTTCTATTCAGGAATGGTCAGTGGAACTTTCCTTCACCATCTTCACCTGCTATTAGACAATTCAATAATTTCCTTCTTTCTGTCCAGCTCAGACAGGGGACTGACTCTATTTCTTGGAGAAGTGGTAGGTTCAGTTTTAAGGCTGCTTGGCAGGCAGTTCGAAATCACAAACCTGAAGTTTATTGGTATTTCTTGTGTTGGAATGGTTGTCGTCCAAGAGTTTCCTACAGTTGCTGTTTGATTTCTAATGATAGGTTACCATCACTGTTCAACCAAAGACTTAAGGGGATCACTGCTGTTCGAGTTTGCCATTTATGTTTTGCTGATGAAGATTCTACAGACCATCTCTTTGCTGCTTTATGTTATTGAAATACAATAGCAGTCAAAATGGAATGCATTCTTACCGGTAAGGATTTAAGTATTGTTCTTTCAATTTTTATCTTACTTTTTGAATTTGTATTGTATTTCAGAATTTCAAACAAATTGAATTGAGGGTGGGTTCAAACAACATATTTAGAATTGGAATATTATTATGGGAGGATTGTCCCACGTCTAAACCCGAATGAGAAATATTTGGACATTATATGGGAGGGTGTGTAACATTACTTAATGACTTAAGTTAACTATTGCAAGTGGTATTACAAAAAAGAAGAGAAAGAAAAAAATTGCGATTAAATTGTCCGATTTAGATGAAGATGGTTGTATTATTAAATAAAGAAACTATGATTTAATTCAAAATAATAATGTAACACAAAAAGTTGGAAGAAGAATTCATTTCTCCCTCAAACAAGAGGATTTCTTTTAACGTTTTAAAAATTAAATTGGAAATTGTGTGTAAAAATGTACACACTAGCATGAAATGTAACGGATGACTTGTGTACAAAAAAAAGGGCACTTTTTATTTTTATTTTTATTTTTGTTCCTTGAAAAGAAAACACAATTGTGAACTTCATTGCATGTGGTGTACTAGAGAGGAATGGAATGGCCATTCTCATTTATGTCTAGCTAATTGCATTTAAAAAAAAACTATATATACATATAGTTTAAAGTGACTTTGTTTCAATTATTAAAAAAAAAAAAGAAAAGAAAAGAAAAAAAAAAACCTTTAAATGGTTGGGAGGGGCAATTTCGTCCCATAAAATGATTTTTCCGATTGAGGGGTAGTGTTGCGACAACCAAAATACTTGGTGGGTTTATGGCAATTTTTTTTTTTTTTTTTTTTTTTTTTGTTTTTTTGCAGAGGGGTTTTCTGCCAAAAATTTAAATTAGAGGATTTTATGCAATTTGCCCTATATCATTTAATATGTCTACGAAAAGTATAAATTGGGATACAAAAAACTTTGAAAATAATCGGAATAGATAAATTAATTCAATTTAAAAAATAAACTCTGATAAATATTTAAGTGAAAATTCAACAAATGAAGAATCAAATAACTTAAAACAATTAGATATTTATACAATAGTGAATGAAAAAGATATTGATGAGTTGATTCGTAATGAAATTATACATGTAATAAGAAAATTCTTACTCTATAAATTTTTTTTATATAAAAATATTGATACAAAATTAACTATATATTAATATATTACAATTTTTTTATCCTACAGAGGTAATGATTGGCCGGGCAGGACTAACAACAGATTCGGGGAAAAAATCATGGTGGGCACGCCCTCAATCTAAGAGCTAAATAAGTGGTAGGTAATTCTCTATAATCAATTAATTATACTTCCATTGCTTCCCAAGAGAATACACACCCATAATATATTGATGTTACGACTCAAACTCTTACCTATACTGAGAAAACTCCTACTTTATATATAGGCATCTCCTCCCTAATGAATGATAAATAGGATGCATTACAAATCAAGCGTCAAAATCTATGGAAAATCTCCATTTAAATATCTAAATAGTTATACTTCTAAAATATTCTTTATTCTACTATTCTAAAATCTAAAAGTCACTCTACACCAGCACGCTTTTTATTTTTCGTTTTTACCATATATGAGGGGACATTTCGTATATAAAAGAGGTCATGTGTGAAATTAGTAGCAAAGTTTGCATTTGAGGATGTGTTTATTTGTAATTGTAATTTTGTAAATTAGTTGAGTTAGAGTTCTAAATGATTTATTTTAAAGATTTATTTTTCACTTTACTTAAATAAAATAAAATAATTACATATATATTGAGAATTAGTCCAAAATACCCTCCTAATAATAATTACATATGTTTTCATGCTTATGAGAAAGCTGGTGATTGGAGTTTTCTTGTTATGTGTGGACAAATTAAATTAATTGTACTTTCAGATTTTGTTCTACAAAAACGGATGCAGCCAAACTATACAATGGACAAGAAAAAAAAAATTCTAAACTTGGACAAAACTTATTTCATCAAATTCCAAAAATAAAAAATAAAGTGAAAGGTAACTACATCATCGTGCAAACTTAAAAAATTAGACAGAACCATACTTTTTAATTAATAAATCACATCTGAACTGAGTGTAATGGTAGGTTATGTCAAAGGAAACTACATTATCGTGGAATTGAAGCCACAATGACTGTTGTGGTTTTGTGGAGTCTGATTAGGTGGAAGATTTTTAAAAAGATTTAATTATATAAAAATTTTCACGAGTAGTGAACTTTAGGAAAAATTCAGTTTCCTAATCTGATTTGACTTCCTTATTGGTTTAAGGAAAATTCAGTTTCCTAATTTGATTTAACTTTCTTATTGGTTTTGGATTCTATAAAAGGCAAATTCTTGTAAGACAAGTTTTGGGACTCTATAAATAGGGTGAGAAAGTTAGAGAAAAATTTGTACCAATACAAGAGAGAGCAATTGAGAGAGATTAAGAGAGAATTCTTCTTGTAATTCTTTATCTTTTTCATAATGAATTTGTTCGGTGTGCTCCATGGACGTAGCCTTAAAATTTGGGTGAACCATGTATATCTTGTGTTCTTGTGTGCAGTGGCGTAGCCACATTGGGACAAGTGGGGGCAGCTGTCCCCACTGAATTTTTAATTTTTTTAATTTTTTTCAATTTTATATGGAAAGATTTTTATATTTTTATAATTGTCCTACTAAAAGTTGACATTGCACATATATATACTGTATATATATAACCAAATGACCATTGGTATTAAAAAAAAATAAAAAAATGGAATATAATCTTTCCAAAAAATATGATTTTTTTTTTTTTTTCACTTTCTCAAAATATTATATTTTTTCTCACTTTTTCAAAAAATATAAGATATTCTTTCATGCTTTTAACTTTACCAAAAAACAAATGCGTTGTTAATTTCCATCACATTTTCAATCTTCAACATTTTTCTTTTGGCGAGTCTTCAATATTTCAAAAATTCACAAAATTCAAACAAATACTGTCGTGCGGAGACAGGTAATCTCATATATATTTTTTTATCATCTAAATTTACTATTATTATGTCATGAACATTTTGAAAACTCGACTGCGTGCTTTAAGAATATGAAAAATATTCTGAAATATTTAGTACTATTTAATTTTTACATATATTATTTTGGTTCAAATAATATATATATATATATATATATATATATATATATATATTATTGCTGTTAAAAATTGCCTCCATTGAAGAAAATTTCTGGCTACGCCACTGCTTGTGTGTGATTTTTTTCTTCTTTGTGATTGCTTGATAATTCCTCGAACAACGTGCATTATTATTTTGCGTTTTCGTCACAACAACTGGAATCAAATTCGGTTGATTGTGTAGTGCAACTCTAACAACTGGTATCAGAGCCTTTGGTTGAGAACCTAGGGTACAGAAGGTGTTTGACGAAATTCTGAAAGTTTTTTTATCAGATCTGTCCGTTTAAGTAGGAGTAATGGCATCAGAAGATAAGACATCCACATCTATGATCAAAAAGTTCGATGGCACAAACTTTGATTTCTAGAAGATGCAAATAGAAGACCTGTTGTTTCAGAAAAAATTGTATCAACATTTGGGAGAGAAGCCAGAGGATACAAAGGATGCAGATTGGGAATTACTTGATAGGAAGGCTCTTGGAACCGTCAGATTGACGTTGTCAAAGTCAGTCGCCTTTAATAACAAGAACGAAAAGACGACGATGTCCCTTATGGCAGCCCTTTGCTAGTATGTATGAATAGCCTTCTGCAGCGAACAAGGTGCACTTGATCAAGAAGTTATTCAACATGAAGATAGTCGAAGGTGGTAAGTTCAACAAACATCTAAATGCGTTCAACGAGATAGTTGGGCAATTAGAGTCTATTGATATCGACTTCAAAGACGAGGTCCAAGCACTGGTAATTCTAAGGCAGTTTACCCGAGAGTTGGAGTGGCATAGTTACAGCGATCAGTAGCTCTGCAGGGAAGACCAAGTTGAAGTTTGATGAAGTTGTGAGCATGATTCTGATTGAAGAAATCAGAAGGCAAACAGCAGGGGTTTCCACCAGTGGTTCGGCGTTGAATGTTGAAAGTAGAGGCAATGGTTCAAACAAGAAGAAGGGCAACAATAATAGAAACAGAGGCAGATCCAAGTCAAGGAATAGAAGGACACAGTCTCAAAATTTTAGGAATTCCACAGATCTCAATGACATTGAGTGTTGGAATTGTGGGAAGAAGTGACATTACTGTGTTGATTGCAGACTTCTAAAGAAGGGAACCGACAGAAAAACTGAAGCAAATTTTGTCTCAGAAGAATCAGATGATGCATTGATATGCTCTTTGAAGAGCAAGGCGGAGTCATGGGTTTTAGATTCTGGCGCATCGTTTCATGGCACCTCAAACAAAGAGCTATTTAATAGCTATGAACCGAGTAACCTTGGTAAGGTGTATCTTGGTGATGATCAGCCTTGCAACGTCGTTGGCAAAGGTGAAGTGCAAATCAAGTTGAATGGGTTAGCTTGGAAGTTGAAGGATGTGAGACACATCCCTGACTTGAGGAAGAATATGATTTCGGTGGGATAATTGTCAGATGACGGTTTTGTTACAACCTTCAATGGAGACTCGTGAAGAGTTTCCAGAGGCGCTATGACCATTGCACGTGGTAAGAAATATGACACTCTCTACGCAACTACCAGTGCTTGTGGGTTTATAACAGTTGCAGAAAATAGAGAAGATCACAACCTTTGGCACCAGAGACTAGGTCGCATGAGTGAAAGGGGGCTCAAGATTATGCACTCAAAGGGGAAACTACCAGGCATACGGGCAATTGATATTGACTTCTGTGAGAGTTACGTGATGGGCAAGCAGAAGAGGGTCAGTTTCAAGAAGAGTGGCAGAGATCTCAGAAAGGAGAAACTTAAGTTAGTTCACACAGATGTTTGGGGCCAACCACTGTTTCATCCATTGGCGGAAAATCCTACTTCATGACTTTCATTGATGATCACATGAGG